CCAACCAGCCCCTCTACTGCAGGGCAGGATGCAGACTAACTGAGCAGCCTTGTACACAAGAAATTCCCATCAGTCCACAAAAAAAAAAAAACTGCAGAGGAGAGGCAGGACATGACACATTTACCTACCATATGGATGGCCACAACCCCACAACAGCTATTAGAGATTCATCATTTCTCAATGACAAACCTATTCAGGAGTTACAAGCCCCCAACCCACCACAACAAAGCATTCAGCCCCAAACATGATGGGTGCTGAAATATCAAGCAAGACACTCACTATTTTGGAGCTGTGACCAGCAGGTTTTGCTGTTATGTGACATAAACACTGTGAAAGAGGTGCTTGCTTACCGAACACGTCTGCAAGTTGAGAGTGACCAGCTCTGGACAGTGTGCCCCAATGTGCTTCAGTGCTTCATCCTCCAACTAGTTAATAGGTGGAGATGGAAAGAAGCAGATAGGAGACAGAGGGAGTGAGAGAGAGAGGGTGTCATTTGAAATCCCATTAGCAGTGCACCAAGGTAACCCCACCAATAAGCTAGCTAGCTAACCCCCTTTTGCAACTAAATGTCCTACCTGCTGTTTGGATCTACCATCCCCATCACACTGCTTGCAATACAAACATTAGCCCTGGTCCCATATCTAGACTAGCTAAGCCCCTCTCCCCTCAGTCAGCCCTTCAGTCTACGCCTCATCCTCCTGGCTACAATACTAACCTTACACGATCCATTTGTTTATTTCACCTCCAAGGGTGTCTTGAATACCTCTCACATATCCAGTCTGTTCTTCTGTTCATGCACCTTGCTTAGACTGAGGTAGCGGCGTTATGCTTTTTAATGGTCCAATTTAACTTTAGCCTGGTCCCATCTCCAGCTGACCCTTTTGTTGCCCTGCCCTGGCCCTGGCCTTACCTGTGTGCAGCCCTTGAGGAAAAGGCCTTTGAGTCCAGGGCAGCATCGTACCAAGGCCTGGATGCCATCCTTAGTCACCTGGTCACACCACGAGATGTTGAGCTGCTCTAACAGAGGACAGCCCTCACTGCAGGGGAAGAAATGGGTCAGACCACGACACAGATAAAAAGCCAGCAAAACAACAACAAATGTGTCCCATATTTATGCACATCCCCTGAATCGCTGATTTACCTGTTCACCCTACACTTGTACAACAGATGCAACCATCTGCTCCTGCTGAGGAGACTCCCTGGTGTGTGTGTGTGAGAGAGTGAGTATTGTCGGAGCCCTGGAAAAACCTTGTATCTCAAAAGTCACAGGACATTTTGAATGGCTTATATTAGTCCTAGCGTCAACAAACTGTCATGGACTACTTCATAATCAAATCACCAAAAGGTGAGTGACAAGGTTTTTCCAGGAATGCTGACAGTATGAGTGTGTGTGCGCAAGAGAGAGGGAGACAGAGAGACCATGAAGCCCCACTCACCTAAGTGCTTTGAGTGACAGGTTGGTGATTGAGGTACAGGAGGCAAGGTCCAAGTGCTTGAGCTTGGGACAGAACTTACTGAGGCTATTACATGTGCTGCATGGGAGAGAAAGAGACAAGAGAGGCTTACAGATATAATAATGTAACACTTAATACATTAACATAACATAACAGAATTATACTAAACAAGAATAAGGCATAAATGTCTGCAAATACCTGTCAGTAATCTTGGTGCAGCCATTCAAACTAAGCAGCTCAATATTCCTGCAGTTCTGGGAGAAGGTTCTGTTAAAAAACAAACAGGAACAGACATATTTGCACTGTGGAGTGTGTGTACTTGCCCTCCAGCGCCCACATAAATCTCCTCCCCTCACCCTCCTTTCTTAGTGCCCAGAGCACCCAGTCTAGGCCAGATTCCCAGTCAGTCCTCACCTCAGAGCGCTGTCCCCGACCCCCAGACAGCCCCTCAGACTCAGCTTCCTCAGGAATCCCCCACATCGTTTTGAGATGTTCTCCACCACTCGCCCCTGCAACACACAAACAAACGCCTCTCATAAAACATAGATTCATCCCCAGATCATCTTCACTATCGCATACATGCATGCAAAAATACATGTAGCAGAAGCAGTCTATTTATATAAAAATAGGGTAGGTCTGCCTGTTTAGGCAAAACTCAACCATCTTTGTAAACACTGACTGCTTAACTTGAACCAATTTCGCAGAGCGTCTGTCTTAATATTGCACTCAATTCTGGCAGACATGATTATACTTGACCTGATGTTCAGGTAATTCATTGTTGATAATGACAATGTACTAACTTGTCACATGTGTGAATATATCAGTCGTACCCTTCAAATAATAATCTGTAGTCATCCATACAGTGACAAGGTCAATAGATGGACATACAGTACATGGCATTGATTGTGGTGAACGCACAACATCAATAGTAGTCAATTAGAACTTTCCTTTGGTAGACAACCAACTGCTAAGGTCCTGAATTCAAATCATAGATAATCACGGTGTGTGGGTTTAAAGTCAATGTTGTTTGAGTTTATAAAGGTCAAAAAAGGTTAAAGCCATGAATGTCCACTTTGTTTCCATAAAAGATGGCAAGACAGACAAAAAAAAATGGATAAATCAATGGGAGGTGAGGAGGAGATGGAGAGGACAGGAGAATAAAGGATATGCGAGACTTCCTGACCTCAATATCTCTCTGAAAGTCGAAAAGGTCGATCCTCTGCCAATTACTGCCGTCCAGGGCGAGCACATTCCACGACTGAGGGAGAGAGGGGCACAAGGTCAACTTCACTGGTTTCACTATTCTGTCCAACACACAATTGCACACACTGAACCAAATACACACTTCAAAAAACACAAACTCACCCGTGAGACCTGGGCACAGCGACAGAGTGTCACCACATCCAGAAAGGAGAAGATTCTGGAACACAGACAGGGATGGTTCAGAACCCCTGGTACCCAGAATCAGAACCAGAGCCCTCTATGTATACAAGGCTCTGCCCAGAACCCCTGTTCTACCCATATAATTACATACAGAACTCTGCTATGTATGCCAGTATGTGTTTTGATGAGCATACACTGCATATTACACTGTTATGATTGTGTTATTGTGTGTGTGTGTGTGAATTTATGTTCACTCTATTATGGTTATTGTGTTTGAAGGCTAGATAAATAGATTACTTTTGCAGAAGGATTGTGTGGTGGGGCATTACACACACACACATTAAGAACACCTGCTCTTTCCATGACATACTGTACACTGACCAGGTGAATGCTATGATCCCTTATTTATGTCACTTGTTAAATCCTCTTCAAAATCAGTGTAGATGAAGAGGAGACAAGTTAAAGAAGGATTTTTAAGCCTTGAGACAATTGGGACATTGATTGTGTATGTGTGCCATTCAGAGGGTGAATGGGCAAGACTAAAAATATAAGTGCCTTTGAACGGAGTATGGTAGTAGGTGCCAGGCGCACTGGTTTGTGTCGAGAACTGCAACGCTGCTGGGTTTTTCACGCTCAACAGTTTCCCCTGTGTATCAAGAATGGTCCACCACCAAAAAGGACCTCCAGCAACTTCACACAACTGTGGGAAGCACTGGAGTCAACATGGGCCGGCATCGCTGTGGAATGTCCATGCCCCAACGAATTGTGGCTGTTCCGAGGGCTAAAGGGGGGAGTGCAACTCAATATTAGGAAGGTGTTCCTAATGTTCGGTATACTCTGTGTGTGTGTGTGTGTATATATATATATATATATATATATATATATATATGTAGCAAAACAAAAAAACACACAAACATACACTACATTTACATTTAAGTCATTTAGCAGACGCTCTTATCCAGAGCGACTTACAGTTAGTGAGTGCATACATTTTTCATACTTTTGATCATACTACATGACCAAAAGTATGTGGACACCTGCTCGTCGAACATCTCATTCCAAAATCATGGGCATTAATATGGAGTTGGTCCACCCTTTGCTGCTGTAATAGCCTCCACTCTTCTGGGAAGGCTTTCCACTACATATTGGAACATTGCTGCCGGGACTCGCTTCCATTAAGCCACAAGAGAATTAGTGAGGTCGGCAATGATGTTGGGCGATTAGGCCTGGCTCGCAGTCGGCGTTCCAATTCATCCCAAAGGTTCGATTGGGTTGAGGTCAGGGCTCTGTGCAGGCCAGTCAAGTTCATCCACACCAATCTCGACAACCATTTCTGTATGGACCTCGTTTTGCGCACGGGGGCATTGTCATGCTGAAAGAGGAAAGGGCCTTCCCCAAACTGTTGCCACAAAGTTGGAAGCACAGAATAGTCTAGAATGTCATTGTATGCTGTAGCGTTAAGATTTCCCTTCACTGGAAGTAAGGGGCCTAGCCCGAACCATGAAAAACAGCCCAAGACCATTATTCCTCCTCCACCAAACTCTACAGTTGGCACTATGCATTCGGGCAGGTAGCGTTCTCCTGGCATCCGCCAAACCCAGATTTGTCAGTCGGACTGCCAGATGGTGAAGTGTGATTCATCACTCCAGAGAACGTGTTTCCACTGCTCCAGAGTCCAATGGCGGCGAGCTTTACACCACTCCAGCCGACGGTTGGCATTACGCATGGTGATCTTAGGCTTGTGTGAGGCTGCTAGGCCATGGAAACCCATTTCATGAAGCTCCAGACTAACAGTTATTGTACTGACGTTGCATCCAAAGGCATTTTGGAACTCTGTAGTGAGTGTTGCAACTGAGGACAGACCATTTTTTACGCGCTTCAGCACTCTGCGGTCCCGTTCTGTGAGTTTGTGTGGCTACCACTTCGCGGCTGAGCCATTGTTGCTCCTAGACGTTTCCACTTCACAATAACAGCACTTACAGTTGACCAGGGCAGAAATTTCACAAACTGACTTGTTGGAAAGGTGGCATCCTATGACGGTGCCACGTTGAAAGTCACTGAGCTCTTCAGTAAGGCTATTCTACTGCCAATGTCTATGGAGATCGCATGGCTGTGTGCTCGATTTTATACACCTGTCAGCAACAGGTGTGACTGAAATAGCCCAATCCACTAATTTGAAGGTGGGTCCACATACTTTTGTGTGTGTGTGTATACACACACACACACACACACACACACACACACACACACACACATACAGTACCTGTCAAAAGTTTGGACACACCTACTCATTCAAGGGGTTCTTTATTTTTACTATTTTCTACATTGGAGAATAATAGTGAAAACATCAAAACTATGAAATAACACATATGGAATCATGTAACCAAAAGTAGCCACCCTTTGCCTTGATGACAGCTTTGCACACTCTTGGCATTCTCTCAACCAGCTTCACCTGGAATGCTTTTCCAACAGTCTTGAAGGAGTTCCCACATATGCTGAGCACTTGTTGGCTGCTTTTCCTTCACTCAGCGGTCAAACTCATCCCAAACCATCTCAATTGGGTTGAGGTCAGGTGATTGTGGAGGCCAGGTCATCTGATGCAGCACTCCATCACTCTCCTTCTTGGCTTACACAGCCTGGAGGTGTGTTGGGTCATTGTCCTGTTGAAAAACAAATGATAGTTCCACTAAGCGCAAACCAGATTGGATGGCGTATCACTGCAGAATGCTGTGGTAGCCATGTTGGTTAAGTCTGCCTTGAATTCTAAATAAATCACAGACAGTGTCACCAGCAAAGCACCCCCACACCTCCTCCTCCTCCTCCTCCATGGTGGGAACCACACATAGAGAAATCATTCGTTCACCTACTCTGCGTATCACAAAGACACGGCGGTTGGAACCAAAAATCTCACATTTGGACTCCAGACCTAAGGACAAATTTCCACTGGTCTAATGTCCATTGCTCGTGTTTCTTGGCCCAAGCAGGTCTCTTCCTCTTATTGATGTCCTTTAGTAGTGGTTTCTTTGCAGCAATTTGACCATGAAGGCCTGATTCACAGTCCCCACTGAACAGTTGATGTTGAGATGTGTCTGTGACTTGAACTCTGAAGCATTTATTTGGGCTGCAATTCCTGAGGCTGGTAACTCTAATGAACTTATCCAGCAGAGGTAACTCTGGGTCTTCCATTCCTGTGGTGGTCCTCATGAGAGCCAGTTTCATCATAGCGCTTGATGGTTTTTGCGACTGCACTTGAAGAAACGTTCCAAGTTCTTGAAATGTTCCATATTGACTGACCTTCATGTCTTAAAGTAATGGACTGTCGTTTCTTTTTGTTTATTTCAAATTCTTATTTACATAAGTATTCACACCCCTGAGTCAATACTTTGTAGAAGCACCTTTTACAGCAATTACACCTGTGAATCTTCAGGTCTTGCCATAGATTTTCAAGTAGATTTAAGTCAAACTGTAACTCGGCCACTCAGGAACATTCACTGTCTTTTTGGTAAGCAACTCCAGTGTAGATTTGGCCTTGCGTTTTAGGTTATTGTCCTGCTGAAAGGTGAATTCATCGAGGATTTTTCCCCCTGTACTTAGCTCCATTCCGTTTCTTTTTAATCCTGAAAAACTCCACGGTCCTTAACGATTACAAGCATACCCATAACATGATGCAGCCACCACTATGCTTGAAAATATGGAGAGTGGTACTCAGTAATGTATTGGCCCCAAATATAACACTTTGTATTCAGGACAAAAAGTTAATTGCTTTGCCACATTTTTTGCAGTATTACTTTAGTCCCTTGTTGCAAACAGGATGCATGTTTAATGTTTTGGAATATTTGTATTCTGTACAGGCTTCCTTCTTTTCACTATCGATTAGATTAGTATTGTGGAGTAACTACAATGCTGTTGATCCATCCTCAGTTTTCTTCTATCACAGCCATTAAACTCTGTAACTGTTTTAAAGTCACCACCGGCCTCATGGTGAAATTCCTGAGCAGTTTCCTTCCTTCAAAAAACAATTCCCCTTTGACATTATGGGGTATTGTGTGTAGGCCAGTGACAAAATAAAATCGCAATTTCATCCATTTTAAATTCAGACTGTAACACAACAAAATGTGGAAGAAGTCAAGGGGTGTGAATACTGCCTTGCTGTCTATGCCCTTCAAGAATAGGTATGTATGTGTGATGGATTCATATGTAACACATTGCACTCTGCAGCCCAGTGTGATGTAGGGTGAGTATAATGTTGCAATTGGCCTTGGCCAGCCTGCCCCTAACCCAAAAGCCCTAGTAAATCAGAGCTCAGTCTGTGGCCCCCGTTCTGCTGGCGAGACCCAGGCTTGAGTTATGGCCTCCATTTTCTGTTTGCTCAGGGGCTTTTGACTTTTTTTTTATGCTTAATCGATTTGAATGTTTTATAGCCCAGACCATCTGTGTTTATTTACAGTTTTAGCATTGGGGGAGGAGAAATTGGGGAAGTGGGATGGGGAGCATGAAGGGAGTGGCATATGGCAGTTGGTTGGGGATGTTGACCAAGCCACTAAAGCCTCAGTATAGTGACCCTTAGTTTCTAAGGTGACCACTCAAGTGTCATGATGTAACCTCCCTAATTGTCAGTGGCTGTGTTGTGTGGAAAAGGGAAAGAGCAGGTGGATCAGAGTGTACACAGCTGTGTTTTGGGCAGGTTAAGATATTTGATGGTGTTGAGCATGTGACATGCCATATTCTGTGTCTGCATCCAGCCCAGTCATTGAAAAGCCCTCGCTCACCGTAGCAACAGCTCCTTGGGCAGCTTCTTATTGATGACGGCCTCGTCGCTGTTTGAGAACATCTGTGAGGAAGAGATGAAGAAGAGCGTGTTAACTTCCTCTGGCTCTGTCACTCACAGCAGGACCAGCCAGGACTTCCTCTATTCTCTCTGCTCCACAGTTCCAGCACATAATGATAAACGATCACTGTCTCATCAGTCGAGATAGGTTCAATGGCAAAGCTTGACAGGAGAAAGGGGGTGACCGAGTGAGTGGGATGAAGAGAGATCGAGAGGAAGGGAGACATTTTCTGTCTCCTAATCAAACCCGTGTGAGACGTCCTTCCATCCGGTCTGATCATGTCACTGTTTTCTTCTTTGCAAAAATTTCTAAAAACCTGTTTTTGCTTTGTCATTATGGGGTATTGTGTGTAGATTGATGAGGGGGGAACAAAACAATTTCATCAATTTTAGAATAAGGCTGTAACGTAACAAAATGTGGAAAAAGTCAAGGGGTCTGAATACTTTCCGAATGCACTGTATGTATATTTTGAATGTGAACCTATGATTTATTTTCTGTTAACTTATTATACAAATTCAGTGGACACACTGGGTCAATAGTACATTAAGCCTCTCCTACGATCCCTGTTTACTTTCACACTCCGAGGGAGCAGGAAAGGACAGGCTTTTGGATTTGGGGCAAATTCACTCTGACAGCTTGCCTTTCAGAGAACTAGTCAACAGGTCGAATAATCCACGGCCATTTCCAAATGCGCATGGTCTGGGGCACATAGGCTACAATGTTTTTCCTTTGTGGTGTAACTTTATATGGTTGTTTGCAGGGCTACAGTAGTTATTGGTCATTTCCATTTAAAAAGGACCCATGAGCACCAACATGTGAAGTTCATGGGAGCATGTCAAATTGGGTGTCAAACGAAAGCTAAGAGTCTATATTTTTGAGAAATTAAGGCATATATACATTTTTCAACCATTTTCCATCCTAAACATTTCAGAATAAGCAAAGGCTTTGATTTCTGGTCAAACAGATGGAAAAGGGGTCTTAGAAAACATCTACCAGAAAAAGTCTTAAAGGTATTAGAAATACATCAAAACAATAATGCGGAAGTAAATAAAGACCCCTGCCAACTAATATCAACATGTTTAGTTTTGTATATAAAAAAATTGCCTTGTGTAAGTTTAAGAAACATTGCCTTGTGCCTTGAAATTCCTTTACCAAAAACCCACATATCTTTAAGAAGTAACAAGTAAAGGTAGACCTATCAGTAAGTTAGTGTTTTTACTGATATACATATTGTTTATTAATTATTAAGTGATTCAACCCCAAAATTACCAAATCAGTAACGGAATTTCCAACAACAGACAAAAATAATAATAAAAAATGTAATCTAAAAGAATTATAATTGGTAACTGAATTTCTGCAATTGAATTGGCTACAATGGTAAACTATACTGAACTCTACGGTTCTGTCCTTTACTGAGCTCTATTGTGTTGTACTGTACTTTGATGTCCAAACTTGTGAAACAAGTCTATGATTGGTTTTGATTTGGTCTGGACCAACCAAATTTGGTCTTGTTTGGGGGCAGAGCTCATTAAAATAATAGCCAGTGTGTAGAATAATACCCAAATATGCAGAGGAGGATATTACATATTTATACATTTGTATACCTATTTAGGATACATAACCATGAAGAGGATGACATTCATATCCATAACTATGCATTTCTGTGTAGTACAGATCAGGGACCCATGATGAATTTCTGTTACTGCAATTCCGTTACCGGGTGTAAATCCACTTCACTTGCTGTAGTTTAATAATCAAAAGAGATTTTTTCAAAGTCATTGTGTCATGTCATAGCTGACACCCCATCGTTGAACCTTAATTCGGAGCAGATGTTTTGAGTTTCTAGAAAATGTTGACACTGTGATTTTACCAAACTTCTGTCACCAAACTTTGCATCTGCACAGTTCTTCCAGTAAATGTGTTTTTGTAAAATGTTCAGTGTAAATAGTTTTCAAAGGTAGTCATTGTGCATAGAGTTGTATGGTTTGTTAAACTTTGAAATCAATGGTTTTTGTTTGGCATACATTTTAAGTGAAAAATCTGAGTCTCAACTCAATTCCCTTACTATGGAACTGGCCTTATGATTTGAGTATGTTATGTCACATATTATTACAGAGTACCTTTTCTTGAATGGTGAGAAATACTCTTCCATGTGATATATCCTATTGTATATCAAATGGTTTGAAATAAGGCTAAAACATGTTTGAATCTCCAATCATACTATTTAGAAATTTTTTAAATAACTCATTTTGGATCATTTACCATCATGATATGGAAAAAGTTAACTGTACTAATTGTTCACAATTTTCTCTACTATTTGAATATGAAATCATATCAAGAATATCTCTAGATATCAATGACTTTCTATTAGTTAAATAACTGATAGTGTGGTCTAAAAAACGTTGAAATAGAATGTTCAGAATACAAAACAAAACTCAAAGTCAATGGGTTAGAATTTAGAATTCTCTTATAACATTTTAGGCTCTGGTCTATGAAAAACTGTTTAAAATGCTCAAGACTTAAGGGATTTGTGTTGCCAAGTCTTGGTTACACTACATGATTGATTCACACTGTAAGGATTGTTGAGGACAACACCCCAACCTCATCCCTTTGGAAACTAAATACGCACAACGCAAGATAGAGGGAAAATCAAACTGTATCGTTTCAAATCTTCAACACTAGGCTACTTGACAATATGCAATATGTTGATCCATAAAAAAAAACAGGGGCGTTTATTATAGGCCTGCCTTTAAATGCAACCCAATTTCAATTCTACTCTCCAAACCGTTGAAGTCCATTGATATTGGCTAATAAACTACAGATCACGTATCTGCGGCAGCTGTCAACCCGTCAGGCCAGAAGGTACGGCCTGAATCTTATGAGTCGTCAGCTGTTGCACCGTTAAAAATAAATAAAACCACACAAATCCCACGTCGCCTAGTTGAGGATTAAACAACATCGAGTGCTCAGGATAGACAGGCCAATGTCACGGCGTGAACACACACGGACGGCATTTGTTAATGAGACTGCATTTATCCAAAGCCATATTTCACAATTGGTGCATTCTTTATCGCTGTGTATAAAGCGACGAAAACTTTGCCACAACGTTGAATAACGATCGCTTGCATGAAAAACAACATGGGGCTTCTGTCAACGTAAACATCTATAAGAAAATCACAGCCTGTATGATTTGAAAAACGGATAGATCATGTTGTATTTGCTGTTGATATTTGGAGTGTGGTGGTGGAATAGCCAAGTCGTGGCCGAGCGAATGGCCCATCTGTAGCAGAATCAACCCGCAGCGGCCATGAGCCTACACAACAGAACCCTAGCTGATCAAGGACAACAATCCAATTCTCCAACTCTGTGAAATAACTCAGTCACAGTAGGATGGAGTAGGCCCGAATATTATATCACATGTTATGTTTATAAAACGAAGGAAAATAGAGCTTCGTATCAGTGTGAAGCCTAAAAGTCTGTCTTTATGCCATTGTCTTTGTTTTGACGGCACAAAGAGAAAGCTCGGATAGGCTCCACAATTTTAATTAGCCTTGAAACCTATGAATGCTTTATAAAACACAACATGTTAAACTATAATCTCATTTAATAATAGCAAATTCTGGTAGGCTATTGAAGAAATTAAGATGTTGTCGTTACTTGAAAACAACATTTCCCTAATCCAAACATTGACTGCGGAAGCTGCATCGGTGCGCAACCATGGACGCAGTTTAACAAACACCATAACACCAATCAAAAATAATTATGTAATCTATCAATCGCATATATTATAAACTCACCTCAAACCGGCTCCGCGAAACACCATTAACCTCCTTCCCCATCTCGGACGGTGGTTTACCCGACTCGATCAGGGGGATAAGTAATTCGGTGTTACAATTGCAGTAACGTATAGATATCGGTGCTCGTCTTGCAAACCCCCTTCCAAAGCTACCATGCTACCGTTGTTTCGGCAGCTGCGAAGGCGGATTTCATAGTTTTTTCGATTTGTATCACAATTGCAATAGCCTACCTCTCGACAACTGCCCCAGCCAACAACCCGAACTCTTATATCTCCGCTCACTATTTCGCCCTCCCCTCCTCCGTTCCCCCTTTATCTGTGAACACCGCTTTTAGCATTAGCCTTCTTCATTATGGACACAAATAATTACATTTGGTAATAACCCTGGACGAAGTGTAGCCTACATGCATTTTTCCTCAGGGCAATATTCTGCCATTATTTAGAATTCTATAGAATTAGGCCTAGCCTATTTCTTCCTTTAGCCTAGGCCCAGCCTACATCATTATGCTATGGGATATCAAAACATTAACCTGAAATAACTGTGATATAAAGGAGGACACTATGCAAGAGCAGTTTATTGGTAGTCCTACTGTATAGGCTATGGTGCTGTCCAGTTGTCATTGGAGCCATGTGAGGCCTAGTTTTGGACAAGAGCATAGCCTACCTACCATTTGTTTTGAACAGTTTTTTTTGTGTTGTCTTTCATGCAGGATAAAGTGCATAATTAGGTTGCATAAATCAATATTACATACATTATATCATCGCCTTGTGCATAGACCTACTTTGTGTGTATACACATAAATGGTCATAATAATGTAGGCATATCTTTATTTAAAAAAATAATGTACTGTGGTGTCCATTCTTTACCATTATGAAACTTATATATATATCTATATATATTCAATAGCCACTGATACTTAGTGACATTGACCAAACACAATTTGTCAATTTGATGATCGAATGGATACATTGTAACTTTGTTGTTGCTGTTTGGGGAAAGAGCACTTCCGCTTTGGACTCCGCTTCCAGCTCGCAAGAAACCAATCAAGACACATATACGTGAGTTGTCATTGGACGTCATTATAGCGGGAAAAGGTGCATGTAAACAGGGAGCAAAAAACCATGCTGAGCCATTGCACTTTAAATCAAGTTGTGGTTCTTTCTGGACTCCTATTGTCAACATACACTGTATAAAGACAAAATAAATACACATAATGTCCTTATAACGGAGGAAATATACTTTGGCCATAATTGCTCACGTCGCATGCGCATACATCCAGCTGCTAATACGTCATTTATCCGGGACATGTGCCGCGTTCAAAACAACTGGGAACTCGGAAATCTCCGACTTCCGAGAGTTCAAAACAACTGGGAACTCGGAAAAAAACGAGCTCCGACTGGGATAAATGGATTTGAACAATCATCCACTCGGAATTCCAAATCGGGAACTCGGGCATCTTTCTAGAGCTCCGATTTCCGACCTGAAGAAAACAAACGTCATGATTTGACTTCGTATTTTTCCGAGTTCCCAGTGGTTTTGAACGCAGCAATGGACAAGCGTGGTTGGTCGAGAAATGGCAGGCTGGTCTCATAGACTAGGCGTAGCATAGTAAACTAAAATCCGTTTGGTATGTTTACAGAAGGTCAAAACGAAAGGAGGTTGGTTGGTTGGGGTGGATTTGACATGAACGTCTAGCAACCCAAAGGTTGTGTGTTCAAATCTCATCACGGACAACTTTAGCAACTACTTACTACGTTTTAGCTACTTTGCAACTACTTAGCTAACACAAAGGTCTAGAACCCAAAGGTTGCGTGTTCGAATCTCATCACAGACAACTTTAGCATTTTAGCTAATTAGCAACTACTTACATTTTAACTACTTTGAAACTACTTAGCATGTTAGCTAACCTTTCCCCTAAACCGGTAACCTAAATCCTAACATTAATCTTAACCCCTAGCCTAGCTAACGTTAGCCACAACAAATTGAAATTCGTAACATATGCGTATTGAAAATTCATAACATATTTTATATATTCTCGATCCTAAAACATCATATGAATTGTAATTCGTAACATATCATACGAAATGGATGATGGACATCCACAAATTAATACATCCTTACCAATTGTAGACATGCTGCTATTTACGCCAGAGATGGGTTCGATCCCCGGGACCGCCCACGTAAACATGGCGCGCACATTGACTGAAGTCGTTGGGTAAAATGCGCGCAGGGCATTTATTATTATAGAGCAATGGCTTCAACCCATTTGATGTCCCGGGCCGTTAAATAAATAATTAATTTATTCACTACTGAGTCCAGTTGGAAATGAGGTTGCTATGATAATGTAAATTATGTTACATAATTATTGATGATTTTAGTTTTCGTGACACAAGTCTCTGATGGTGGAGACCGGTCTACGATAACATTAGTGATGAAGATAAAAAAGTTAGTATTCATTTAACATTGGCATTACTACCAGAAAACTGTCTACTGTGAGCACTGCACTGATTTATTATGGAGCAAAATTAATTATTGAATGTGCAGATACCTCATGGAAGCAATAGTTGGTCTCTGGTTGCCATTTGTGTGGTTAATACAAATAAATTGGTATTAAGTCGGTCAGTGTCCAGTTTGCTATGTTTTACGACAGAGAGGTCTCAGTATCTGTACTTACACATCATAACTAGCTGTTTCTCTTTGGACGGCTGCACAGGGCTATGGCCACTTTCTGTTTATTTCTCAATAAAGACACATTACTCTACCCGTATCGTTTTTGTGTTCAGTATTTTTTTGTCAACTTCTGAAGTTGTTTAAATTAATTACAAGCTAGGTAATGTAGTTGGAAAACAATAAACGTTGACTTTCTTGGAAGGAAACGTATATTTAACAGGCCCTCTACAGGTGAAAAGCTGCGGCGCGCCAAGGGCAGAAGGCGGTGCATCTCCCTGAATAGTGCTTTCGGATAGGCTGTTGCTGAGCTACCATGAAGAATGACAGCCGTCGAGACTTCCGGTTCTAGTCATAGGGCGATAACGATAAGAGCGCAGTTGCAGAATTTACAACAGGAGCCACAATGGCGGTTGTCGTCTCTTGACAGGGCTGTGGATGTTATTAAATCCACTATCATCGCCCTAAAGATAGGCCTGGTTGATTCCCAGAGCCATTAAAAATAAACTGGAACATCTACTGCACATTAAAATACTATAATTTCTGATCAATATCAAATTAACAAGAGATACAATTATATTAAAAGGGACCATGTAAACAGTACCAACCGGGTCAAGTTTTCAGTTTGTTCGAGAAACAACATCGGCTGTTAATGACGGCTATCTGTTTGTTTATTGAACTCCAAAACCGTAAATCTAAGGAACAATAACACCTAAATTAAGATTGGCACCGGACAAGGGAAGCTAAAAGAAAAGGGACTTCTTTTTTTCGTTCGTTTTTTACCAAACAGCATGCTAGCTACACAGAGCTAGCTAGCCAAATAGAAACGGAGAAGAGCGCACAATACTCCGATTTTGTTTGGGCCTTTTCAGCCAGTTTCTCTAACTAGCTAAATGCACAGGCCTTCATTTTAGTGGCGTTTTTTGGCCACTAACAACCTTTATTTTTCTGCTTTGACAAACCATGCTGTCGAACGGCTTGGAATGAACTCGGATAATGCTTGAGGACTAAACCTGGGCAGACTATTTGCTGTTTTGTCGGCTTGCTTAGAACACTGGATCTCATTTTACCGGATTTCAGAGTACTACTCTCCCGTTAATGTATTGTCTCGGCTACAGAGGCCCACGCTCGGGAGAGGTTCCGTCGGCTGACGTGAGGAATGCCTGGGTCGGATAGACACCATGGGACCAAGAGGAAGCCGGAATCCAACAGTAGCATTGCCCTGCCGCCCCAAACAACGAGCGGCAACAGCGGGCTACACCAGCCCCTGGTCCTGCCTCATACCTCTGCAGGCAACATGACTAGCAAGGACGGTAACCTCCAGTCAAAGTCGTCAGTGCCATCTTCTTCCAAGCGCAAACGGCATAAATCAGCCAAACATGGACGTGAGTCCGAGGTGGCTCAGGGCCCTGGTTTTTCTGCCCTCAGCTCCACAGCGCCTCCTTCCGTTAGCGCCGTGAAGCCGCTGGTAGAATATGACGACATAAGTTCCGATTCGGATACTTTTTCGGACGCACCTACTGCAAGGTCTGCTGGGGGATCGGTTAGAACCTGTCCTAGATTATAGTAAAGGGGGGGGGGGCGGGGCTGTTGGTAGAGATGGTCGGGAACACAAGCACCGACACTCTCGCAAAAAGTCGAAGGATCCCAACAAAGTTAGAGACTCTGGGGAAGGAGGTCAGAGTACTAAGAAAAAAAGCAGCAAAGACCGTGAGAGAGGGAGTTCTGGAAAAGTCAAGGAGAAGGTGGCCTCCCTGTCCTCTGTAGCATCCCTGTCCTCTGGGTCACGACGTCAGGGTCAGCTGGAGGCTGACTTGGGGCCAAAGCGTGGAGAGTTGCCCCCCTTCTCCCAGGCCCAAACTGCAGCCAGTGTGGGAAGCACCACCTCCTCCTCCTCGTCATCTCGCAGCAAGGAGGGTGGTCGCTCCGGGAAGTCTCGCAAGGATAAGCAGCAGAAGCGAGAGGGGGCGCGAGGGTCGGGGGGACGCAACCGCCAGCCAGAGCACCTCTGCCTCTCAGAAGGTCCGGACGGAGAGGAGCCAACGGAAGTCCTCAAAGAGCCACAAGTCCAGCCCTAAGGGCAAGGGGCAGCCTTCCTCGAGCAGGGGGAGCCCTCGCCGGAAGGCCCCAGCCCCAACACAGTCCCCCAGCCCCCCCAGGAGAGGGGGTAATGGAAGCCCCATGGTCGGTGGTTACAGCCAGGAGGTGGACAGCTACCACCACCAGAAACGCAGGCCGGCCCCACAGAGCCCCAGCCCCTACAGGGAGATGTCCAGGCGGAGCAGGCAGAGGTCAGACAGCCCCTACGCCAGCAGGCAGAGGTCTTCTAGCTATGAGAGAGACGACAGCCCCTACTCCAGGAGACGCTCCATCAGTCCCTATGGTAACCGCAGGTCCTCCAGTGCTAGCCCTATGTCCCGGTGAGTATTCTGGCCTGGCCCAGACACCTTCCATTCAGCCTGCCTCATATACACATTTACATTTATGCTAGTTGCGTAATATGTACCAAATCACACTCTATTCCCTTTATACAGCACTACTTTTGACCAGGCCCCATGAGACCCTGGTCAAAAGTAGTGGACTACAAAGGGAATATGGTGTCATTTGAGACAAAGCCTAATACTAACATGTAGCTATGCACTACTACTAGCCACCCAATCTCACTCGGTTATTCACTCACTGTATGCATGGCATGCACCTCCACACACAGAGGCATATTCACCAGTGCTACCTAACACACACATTGATTCTCACAAATGACCGAAGTGCATTTTTACTAAGGCTCCAAACGTGATAATGAACTGGTGTTGTTACTGTTGATGTTCTCATTACTGGAACAGGGCCAGGCCACTGGAGGAGACACCGGGTCCACTTTGACTGTTTCTACAGTTTGTTTGTTTTTTTTTCTACTTCCTTTTCTCTGTGTGCTAAGGAAGTGCTTGTATTGTGTGTTTGTCAAAGATGCAATATGTAACTTTTTGGGCGACCTGACCAAATTCACATAGAAATGTGAGTTATAGATCTGCCATTCTCATTGAAAGCAAGTCTAAGAAGCAGATCTGTTCTATGTGCGCTATTTCTATGCTTCCCGTGCTTAAGTTACATTTTTGAATCTTTTACTTTCGGTTTTGTACACCAGTTTCAAACAGCTGAAAATACAATATTTTGGGTTTTATACAATATTTCACAGCGAGTTTAGTTGGTACAATGATGCATTGCTTGTTTTGTCACAAACGGAAATTAGGCAAACTATTAGAATTTTTGCAACCAGGAAATGGCGGAAGAGATTCCTGCATATTGCACCTTTAAATCGTAAGTGGTCGAGACAGTGCTTTAGATAGCTGGGGATTGAGCCATGGGAACAGACGGTACCTGCAGCTTCCTCTCCTGTGCTCCTAGCCCCAGGGTGTTGGAACGGGAATGGCTAGGCCAGGTTGCAATGTCCTGCATGGGCTACTTAAAACTATAGTCAGGGAAGAGACATTGATTCTATGTTCAGATGTGTCTGTGTGACATGCAGGGCTGTTTCTGCCAGGGAGTTGTTGTCCTCTTGCCATGTGGTGTAGAGGGGGAAGGGAAACCTATGTAAGTCAGGACAGGCATCACATGGGGCTCAGACAGACATGCAAGGCCTGTGTGCTCCAGGCTAGGGAAACCCTATGAGGGGCTGTGGTGGTCTTTGGAGCTGGAGAGGGCATGGGTTGGGGGGTAGACTACACTAGCCAGGGAGTGGGGTGACTGGCTAGGCCATGGCTTTCAACCCTGTTCCAGGAGAGTTACCCTCCTGTAAGTTTCCGCTCAAACCCCAGTTCTAACTAACCTGATCGAGCTTACCAACCAGCTAATTATTAGAATCAGGTACACCAGATTAGGGTTGGAGTGAAAACCTACAGGACAGTATCTCTCCAGGAACAGGGTTGGAGAGCCTTGGGCTAGGCTGTTGACATTCAGCCATTTTGATTTTGTGTCGCATCAGAGAGTGGACCTTGAGCTTCTGTTGGTGGGAGGGGGCGTAGCTGTAAGATAAAACTAGGCCCTCTGTCGTGATCGTTAAAAGGTTCTCTGCTGACAGTAGACTCTGCTGACAGTAGACTCTGCTGCTGGTGAATCATGTTGATGTAGTCAAGCCTGTAGCTAACTGTAGGCTATTTGTTTAGTCTAGCTAATTAACTTAATTTCCCAGTTCTTAACTCATAATAATCACATTTTAGATTTAGTTTGTAGTCTTTTATAAGTTTTCATGCTCAGGGACATATTAACTTGCTACTAGTTAATTTGTTTTCCTAACCCCTCAAACAAATTATTGAATCTGAATGTTGTCTCTGCAATTAAAGGGATACTTTGGGATTTTGGCAATGAGGCCCTTTATCATCTTCCCCAGAGTCAGATGAACTTGTGGATACCATTTTCTTGTCTGCATGCACTTTGAAGGAAGTTGCCAACTAGCGCTAGCGCAATTGCTAACTAGCATTAACGTTAGCATTGGCTCGTGAAACTACCTCTAACTTCCTTCGTATTGGACATAAAAATGGTATAGATTAGTTTATCTGACTGCCAAAATCCTGAAGTATCCCTTTAAGTATGTTCAGAATCTTCATACTTTTCATCTTACATCTCCCACATTTTGAATAAGGGTTAATTGATTGTTATCAAAGTATGTGTGGTGATGAGGTGTTTGAATGTATGTCCCAAAGCTATTTGGCCTAATGCCAGAGGAATGTTGAGACAGTGAACTTCTGGAGGAAGTTTGTACACACAGTGCTTTAGTCTGAACTTAAAGTAGCCAAAGGTTGTCCTCCAGACTAACCACCTTTTATGTTTGTATGCTGACTAAGGGAATGGGAAGTGTAGCTCATATGGAAGAAGACATAACTCAGTTTATGTGTAAAAGGCGTCAGTGTGCTATCTTAGCAAATAGCACTCCCTCTCTGAACTTGCCTCTAACTGGGCTTGAACCAGGGTCCTGCCTCGCCAAAACACGTGACCGCCAGTTGATAACTTATGAACCAGTTGAGCTATAGAAAATGATCCAATTCGATAGCACCATTGGTGAAATGTCAAGCTAGCTGTGAAGTGAGCTTGCCACATGGTCTTATCTCATTATATAAACATAACAAATGTTTGGTAGTTATCATTTTCCATGACATGTGCCATGTGTTGTTTTTATTAACACATTTCTTAATACACAAGTGCACAATGCCCCAGTAATGTCAAATGGCCTCCTCCCTTCTTCTAGTTCCTCTTTCTTGGTGCCCCCTCCGAACTTAGAAAGAGAACTTGCAGCCAACAAGAAATTATTGTTTTCCTAACATCTCGTCTCTCTCTCCAGGCGCTCAGTTCGCTCCCGGAGTCGTTCGCCACCTTTCTCCTCTTCCCATCGCTCCTCCTCTCGCTCTCGCAACAAGAAGCATTCGTCCTCTGCCGGGGGGGCTGGGGGTGGCGGGTCTCACAGCAGCCGGCCCACCAGCCGCTCCCCACCCTCCTCCCGCCTGCCACTCAACTCCAGCCTGGGGGCGGAGCTTAGCCGGAGGAAGAAGGAGCGCCAGGCTGCGGTGGCTGCAGCTCGCCCCCCCTCCCCTCCACCTTCCTCACGCAAGACCAAGGGGTCCACTTCACGCCCCCCTAAAGCTGAGCCCGAGAGAGCACCTGAGAGAGACTCTGTCCAAGCCGCGGACCTCCAGCCTCCACCCAGTGCACCCCAGCCACAGGACACTTGTTGGGGAAGAACACGGCTCTGCATCTCCACCCTCCACCTTCTCATCTCCTGCACCCCCTCTGCCCCCCGGTCAGACGACCCCACTGCCCCCACCTCCTCTGCCCTCCACCCCTGTCACCCAACTTCAGCCACCTACACCCCAGGGCCAGACAGAGGCCAGCCTCCCACCCTCCACAGCCCTCTCCTCCTCCTCCTTGTCGTCCCCCCAGTCCAAATCTCCTGCCCCCATGCCCACACGCAGCCCTGCCCGCCTGACACCCATCCACAAGACCTCCACTCTGCCCCCCCTGCCTTTACCACCCATGCTAATGGGAGACTGCCAGGACAGGTGAGCCATGGAACGCACATACACACACACACACACACTCCACTCCCCAGTGCTGTTGCTTGGCAAGCGGGTAGTCATCATCACAACAGTTATTAGGCCTATACTGTTTAGGCTCAGGTTTCACCCAACAGTCAGTCACACACATGCCTGCAGTGCAGTACTGGAATTCTGAACAGATTCCCTGACTGCTCTGTATGCCTATGCTTTAGCTACCATTAGACCATGAGTATGTCAAGTAGTCAAAACAGGCCTACTCGGGACTTAAAAATAATCACTAACTCCTTGCAGCCTTGTCAAATTCAGTGCTTCCTCTACAATGGACTGCACTGGCCAAAATGGCTGCCACAGTGAAACTGTAGTTCATGGGCCCCACATCCCTTTGTCATGCTATTTGGGGATACATTTGTACTACAGACATAAGGAACATAAAATTCAAACTCACTAGAAAAACAACGATGCGCTGGAGTAATGAAATTGTTTCTTTTTCTCTCCTTCCTTCTCTACCTTCAATCTCTCTCTCCCCCTATCTCCCTCTCTACCCTCCATCAGTCCGAAGAAGTCCACTCCTCCTCAGAGGTCTTCCAGGAAGGAGAAGGAGATGCGGAGTCGGCCGTCTCTGATCGACCTCCCGCTGCCCCCCACGCTGGCCGGAGGAGACCCCTCGCCCCCTCAGTCCCCCGTCCACAGAGCTCCACCTCCACCCCAGTCCGCCCTCAAGAAGAGACCAAAGTGAGTTCCTATCTGCTCAACCTAACCTTCTACTTCTTATCAATCCCCCCAAACCACTGAACTCTAATAGTCTTTTCCACAGCCCTCCTCTCCCACCGCAGCCTATTTTCTTTCAACAAAAAGAAAAAACAAGCATAAGATAGTACAAAGTTATCATCAAGGGCGTATTCACTGAGGTAAAACGTTTCCTAATAGCAAGTCTCCTCTGCTCTCTCTAGGTTTTGCTGTCCACGCTATGGCGAACGCAAACAGACACAGAGCGACTGGGGCAAACGCTGCGTGGACAAGTTTGACATCATCGGCATTATCGGAGAGGGCACCTACGGCCAGGTGTACAAGGCCAAGGACAAAGACACCGGTGAGAGCCCCGTGTGGCCTTTCACTGACATACCTGTGTTTCATTGTTCTTGAGAGAGGCACAAATCAGAGAGGCCCTTTGCTCCAACCTCCTGCCTCTCTATGTGTGTCTGTCGGAGGAATTGGAATTAAAGCAGAAGACACATTTCCATTGGGCATCCGTGTACATTGGACAATGTATTTTATATAGCACATTTATTACACTTTTAAACAGGACAATCAACAGAGATGTTTTCATCCATCCCCTACATTGGACAATGAAGTGATCTGTAATGTTCATCTTGTTCTCCTGTCCTCCAGGTGAGCTGGTGGCTCTGAAGAAGGTGCGTCTGGACAATGAGAAGGAGGGCTTCCCCATCACGGCCATCAGAGAGATCAAGATCCTCCGCCAGCTCAAACCACCGCAGCGTGGTCAACATGAAGGAGATAGTCACAGACAAACAGGATGCACTGGACTTCAAGAAGGACAAAGGTGTGTGGAAGGGGGGACTGTGTGTGTGTGGGGTTTGATCTTGGTGCATGAGCCAGCCATGTCTGCCTGTATGCGTGTGAATGCGCATCCTCCTTACCCCTCCCTGTCCCGTCAGGTGCCTTCTACCTGGTGTTTGAATACATGGACCATGACCTGATGGGTCTGCTGGAGTCAGGGCTGTGTCAGTTCTCCCAGGAACACGTGAGGAGCTTCATGAGACAGTTGATGGAGGGACTGGATTACTGCCACAAGAAGAACTTCCTCCACAGAGACATCAAGTGCTCCAACATACTGCTTAACAACAGGTACTAGTGTTGCACGGTGGATCGGTACCACGGTAATATCACGGTACCAAAATGTCATGATACCAACATTGTAAAATGCTGTAGTACCATTTCGCATGATACTATTGAATTTTTAAGCCCAACCGATCTAAAGAAACTTCTGGCGCCTGTTATAAAATGTTTATAAAGTCAGTTTGGTTTATAATTTCAGTTGAATTTAAGCAACAGCCACTAGTCTCTTGTATGCGCAGGTCCAATAGTGTCCACTTCACTTTCATGCGCATACCACGTGTGGCAGCTGTAATCGGCCAGCTGCATCCCCTACCATCCCTCACTCACCTGCTTCTCTCTGTCCGCTCTTCATGCGCATCTATTCCTCCGTTCGTTTTAAAAAAGATATAATTTAGCCGTGATGGCGAGCAGGGGATGCAGACCCTGATGAGTCTTCTGTTGTTAGATGTGTACATTTGTTACATTGGAGCAGTGCGCAGAGCGAGCAATGTTAATACAATGTGTCATTTTATTGCCTGTTATAACCAAGAGCACAGGCCAGTCTGAGTAGACTTTGCAAGTTCACTGTCATACAGCCTCTGAGTGTCAGAGAGGGGAAATGCAGCACTGCTTCACGACAGGCACGCTTGCAGCTTTACAGCAAAGAAAATGGCTTGTCTCTAGCCTAAACTGCAAAAAGAAAATATGACCCATATAACCGGAGATGCATTTTTTTTTTTTCTGTCGGGATTCGTGTGCATTTTATATAATTTCACAAATCATGTCGCGGGCTGTTTTAAACTAGTCCTGGTTTTTTTAATTATTGGTTTGATAACAAACAACGTTGTTCAGTCATGTTACCTAGCTAGCAATCAACCTGGTAACTTGACAGTAGGTTTAGACAAATTTGATTGGCCCAGGAAGAAAGGAAAAGGGTCTGCTACTCATGAGATGTGTTTCAAAGGTAGGATTCATATAGGTCTAATGTAAGCCTAAACTATATCACAAAATCAATTTCTTTCTGGTGCTCCTTAAATTCTGTTTGGTGTCTAACGTTTTAAAAGTTGGAAGCAGCGTGTGTGTTTGTGGGAGAGAGAGAGAGAGTGGTGTGTGTGTCTGTATTAGAGAGGGAGACTGAGAGAGTGTGTAAGGGAGGGAGTGTCTGTGTTAACTGAAGAGTAAAGGTTTCATGCAGTGTTTTCCCCTTAGTGCTACAATGACATGCAGATCATAATGCTATTCCTTCCTCCAGCCAAAGCACTGGTAGGCCTTTGCAAATATGAGCAAATCGGCCATTCTATGCAGTATTCTATTATACACTGAACAGTGTGAAGTTAAATTCAGTGTGTTGTATTGGGTAGAAGTGTGAATTTCAGTGACAGGTTTTTGTGTAGCACATGTGCAGAACATTTAGAAAACGGGAACAAGCGTCCGGGGGACGGGGCAAACAAGATGCTAGGCCACAGATTATTTTTCTTTCTGTAGTATCGCGATACTACTCGGTATCGTGATACTGGCCTGGTATCGTATCGTTAGTAAAATGTCGGTATCGTGACAACACTAACAGGTTCACAAGGAGGAGGGAACAGTGTTTCTCCGTCCATGGGCCGGTCCGTGAGATGTTGCTGGCTGGTCGCTGAGATGGTTCACTGTCCATTCATGTATACAGTTCTACAGTGCTAGATTTAAAGGTAGACTCAGCGAGATGACGTTGCCACGAGCAGATAATGAGATGAGAGTGGTGCAAGACTTACAGTCACACAGACTTACAGTCACACAGAGTATCTGCTCATGTGCACAGCTACAACGTGGTATCTACAGGACCAAAACAGCGATGAAATTCAGCCTCGCGCTTCAACGCTCTTAGTTGTTGTGGAAGTTGACCAACTACTGCTGTTTACTTTGTACATCTACGTCGTCTCGCTGTAAGCAGTTCCCCAAGGAGGGAAAAGCATAGCTTTGCCGGTCCCTGGTATAAAAAAATGGACCCACTAACCTAGAATGTTATGGTAATAGCAACAGTAGTAGTTAGTGTGGTTTTAGTAGTGAGGACAGGGAGCACTGGGAGTTGTTTTGAAATGATTGTTGTAGCTATAGTAGGATTGGGTTTTTCCTTTGATTGGTGCTTTCAATGTGCAACATTCTACCATGGGAATTCAAATGCCCTTTCTTCTGCCTCGCTGTTTTGATTGAATTATTCACTTCTGTAGTTAGGGTTGTATAAGTTAACAGCTGTAGAATGTAATAAGTTGTCTTGTTATTGAGCTTGATTCTCTGTCTCTAACCCCTCATTTCTTTATCCCTCTCTCCTTGTGCAGTGGTCAGATCAAACTGGCTGACTTTGGTTTGGCCCGCCTCTACAACTCAGAGGAAAGGTGAGACTTGGATTTCTCAAGTTGCTTTGGAGCAACGATGACATCATCATGTGTTTATAAGTCAGAGGTCCTTCCTGTCTCTGGTTCAATCCTTTTAAACTGTGGCCCTCACACTGGCTTTTTCTCATTTGGGCAAAAGCCCGTCCTCCACCCTCTCTCCGCTCTGCTTCGTGACCCAGAAACCGATACGTGGTCGATGAAATGTAAATTCGTTAGTAGGCGTCCGGAACAGTGTCCTCCATTCCTCGATAGCCACCTTTCAGTAGGATAGTCATGTATCCTACCAGAGTCCTTCACGGAAGAGTTTTGATATCTGCCACACCCCCTTTGAATCAGCTTTTGTTTTGTCCGAGGAGAAAAGCATGCACACAATCAATATGTTACATATCTTTTTATCTATAAAATGTCTTGCACAACTAACTTAATTCGTTTATCACTTTACACATTTATTTTGGGATCCACCCCTGTAAACTTAATTTGCCTGATGATGCGCGAGTGGAGGAGGCACATTTTTGTCCACGTTCCCTCTCCTCGATTACCTTTGACCTTTTTCCAAAAGAAGACGAGAGAGGACGGAGGAGAGTGGAGGCGGGAGTTGAGCAAATCCAATTGAGAAAAGTCCTCTGTTGCCATGGCAGTCTGAATGAAAACACCTATCTATTCTAATGATTCCCCACTAGGTGGTGCTGTGTCCTGTATTAAGAGGTTCTCCCTCCATCAGAGCCCATTGTTGAGAGATGAAGTGTGGGTGTTTGGGCACTGGAGGGCATAGTAGGGGTACTGGTACTGTATCTGTGTGTTATATCTGAATGTCCCCTTCCCTGCTCCCTCCAGCCGACCCTACACTAATAAAGTAATCACTCTATGGTACCGCCCCCCTGAGCTCCTCCTGGGAGAGGAGAGGTACTCTCCAGCCATCGACGTCTGGAGCTGCGGGTTAGTACACCCACACACACACACACACTGTCATGCACCTGGACACTGATTCTGTACATGCCCAAGAACACTCATTCCCTATTTGTTAAGAGGTTTATTGGTGCACAAACATTTCATTCACACATTCTCCAATCAAACATGCTCTATTTAGGAAATCAGATTGCACTTACCTTATTGTTCCATATGGTGTCACTATAAAACTGCCATATCATTTTGACTTAAGTAGTCAGAGCTCTGAACCTAAGGATTGGCAAAGAATTATCACTCTTAGCAAATCCTAGTCGCCAACATTGTCTATTGACTGTTTGTGCACAGGTGTATTCTGGGAGAACTGTTCACCAAGAAGCCGATCTTCCAGGCCAATCAGGAGCTGCTGCAGTTAGAGTTGATCAGGTATGCTGCTGTTGCCCCCTACTGCCTGGAAGACTGCAACTCAGCATTAAAATCTTGTCTGACATGGCAACCTATTTCCTATATAGCAGCCATATTCTACAGGCGTACTGCAGTCCAGAACTCAGAACGGGGTCTATACGGACCGCGGGTCTTGACTTTTTTTTGTTTTTGGAACTCAGTTGGGCTTTCAACTTACTGCTGTCGAGTGCAATTTCTAAATGTAGAAGTTTTACTCTTATGTCATTCACTGACAGATCTTAAAGATATATTTTTAACTGAAATGTCCAATTGATCAACTAGCTAGATAGGTAAGTTAGGCTAACCAGCTACCTACATCTTGTAGTTATCATGGCCAAATTGTGCCAAGGGGCATCGAACCCCAGGGATCCCCCATTTTAGATTTTGTTGAGTCACTCGGGTATCAAATGAACACACATAAGAAATGGCGAAATGTGTAGAATTGCAGTAAATTAGCTTGTGAAAAGAATGTTCTCTCCGCCAAAAAGAGGGGTGTGAACCCTTTGGGGTCGCATGGGATGCGAGGTGGGGGTTTGTTACTACTCCGATAAATGACAATACCCATCCGGACCTTTACCACCTAGGAAATATGTGTGACTGGACCTTCTCAAATAGTAGTTGAATACCCCTGCTATATAGTGCGCTACTTTTGACCAGAGCTCTAGGGGCCTTGGTCAAAAGTAGTGCGCTATATAGGGAATAGGGTGCCATTTGGGATACAGGCCATGTTTACCAAAGCTCTAACTTTCTCCCTCTCTGTCCCCCCTCTGTCTCAGTCGTCTGTGTGGGAGCCCCTGTCCCGCTGCCTGGCCTGACGTCATCAAGCTGCCCTACTTCAACACCATGAAGCCCAAGAAACAGTACCGCCGACGGCTACGCGAGGAGTTTGCCTTGTATGTAACATGACATACAATCCGTGGGATTTTCTTGTCCTTTCATCAATCTGATAGTTGTGGCAGTACATCAGTTGTTGATGCTATTTGTTTGACTCGCACTCTCTAATTTCACACTCTCTCTCGCGCTCTCTGTCAGTCTGCCTGCCCAGGCCCTGGACCTGCTGGACCGCATGCTGACCCTTGACCCCGCGCGGCGCTGCACAGCCGAACAGGCCCTCAATAGTGACTTCCTGTGTAACGTGGAGCCCAGCAAGATGTCCCCGCCCAAGTGAGGGCCTTGTCTTTGGCCTGTCCTTTCCTGGGCCCAATACATATATCTAGAGAACACCCTTGAACTATCCACTACCATACTCCTACACCCTTATTGCTTTCTTTCTTTCCCACATCCCTGGCGTTGCTAGCGCCATGCTCTTCCAACTGAGCTTTCACCACTCCGTTTTTGCCTCTGTATCTTACTCTCTCTCTCTTTCTCCAGTCTCCCTCACTGGCAGGACTGCCACGAGCTGTGGAGTAAGAAACGACGGCGCCAGCGTCAGAGCGGGCTGCCCGAGGATGTGCCTGTGCCCAAAGTGCCCCGTAAGGACCCCTCGGGGGCTTCCAGTGGAGAGAACAGCAGGCCACAAGCCAGCCCAGCTGGAGCCCCGCCCCCTCCGCCTGGAAGACCACCCTCCTCAGCTATCTCAGCCAATGAGCTAGCAGGTCAGGCAGACACAGTAGTCACAGTTCACTACTATAGAAGAACATACCCTTACCAAATGTCTCCTTGGTTAAATAGTGGCTGAACAGGTTGTTGTAAGTCTATAATGTGAACACGTTGTCTCCATACACTCTCAGCAGGCTGCTGTCTACAGTATGTGTGACCATTGTCTCTCTCCCATCAGGTCTGGGTGCTGCAGCGGAGCAGCTGAACCAGACCGAGCTGGCTGTACTGTTGAACCTGCTGCAGAGACAGACAGACCTCAGCTTGCCCCAGATGGCCCAGCTCCTCAACGTCTCCTCCAACCCAGAGAGCCAGCAGCAGCTAGAGACCCTTAGCCAGTCCCTGTCTGCCCTGACCGAGGCCTCCCACCACCGGGGGGCCTCAGAGGACCAGGGTCCGGCTAGGTCCCAGCCCCCCGAACCTCCCCCAGAGCCCCAGGAGCCCTCCCCGCACCACGGCGAGCCGTCCCTCAGCCAGGACGACCAGGCCAACCTCCTTGCCATCCTATTGGGCCAGCTCATCAAGCCGCAGGCCGAGGGGGCGGAGCAAGGCGACGAGAGCAATGGCGTCCAATCAGAGGAGGCGGTGAGGCGCGGTTCGTCCGCCTCCACTGCTGACCGCAAGGGCAAGTCTGGGTTCAGTCTCTAAGGGGTGGGGCAGAGAGCACTGGGTCAGGGGGATCTCACAGGGGACTGGTGGACGAAAGGGAGGGGGAGGAGACTGGGCGGAGGGTGTCATGGTGCGGATCTTGTCATTAATTATTTTTCTGCTTCCCATAAAGCAGTTGTAAATTCCTTTATAAACGAGCTGATGAGATGAAAGATATTAACTAAATGGCAAATCGAAAGAAAGATTCCACGGTTACTTTAAATATTTTTGCAGGAAGACTAGTTTTATGTTGTCTAGACCCACCTCCTCTCACCAACAGTTCCACCCCCCTACCCACCTTTTGTCTGTCTCACCCATCTCCCACTTCAAAGGCTACTTTCACCCACTCAGTCACACATAGGTGGAAACATACCATACATGAAGTTGGCGAGTCCTCAAGATGTCTGACCAGAGAGTGGCTTCGGACGGCCCAGGTCACATGGACTGGGCTTTGGGCACAAGGACTTTTCTCATTGGTGTGAATGTAAACCATGAGAAGGTGTGTAGTGTAACAGCATTAGAAAGAAAATGGTTCACACTGCACTCTCCCCTCCACCCTTTCACTCCTGCCTCTTTATCACCCTGTTTTCTTTTCCTTCGTGTTTCTTTTCCCATTTCCTCTTTCTCTCTCATTTTTCAATTTGTTAAAGCAGGTTTCTTGGATTGTTCTTCCTTCCATAAAAAGATATTGATTAAAAACCAGTCTGTAATGTTAACATTTTTATGAAGAAAGTCTAATAAATTATCAAACAAAAATAAATGTTTTGAACCTTAGACTTCACCTGCATGTCTTTCTTTTAACTTTTATTTAAATTACCCATTTAAATTTTATTTTTGTATGTTGTCTTTTACATTAGACCTCAATCATCCAACGCTAGTAAAGCGTTCTCCTCTGTCTCTATCTGTAGTCACCCTGCTGTTGGCACTTATAGCAACAACACTGTTGCCTAGGAAACAATGGTAGCAGCAGTGTTGCCCGGTAGCCATGACAGCAGACTGAGAAGGCATCTCTTTCTCTCTTAGCTTTATGGCCTGCGTGGAGCTTTACGTACCTCTCTCCCTGTAGTGTCATCCCCTCCCCAAACCCAAACCTCATGTTTTACCCCTTCCAATCCATAATAATCCATGAGCCCTTCTTTCCATATTGGTGTTGTTGTTGAAATAGAATTGAGTGTCTGTCAGGGTTGAACAAACCCTAAGGTGAGCATCCCCCTCTACTATGTAAAGCGCTTTGGCTGTCTCGAAAAGCACTATATGTGTCCAAGTTATTACTATAAACACCCCCCATGTCCTGAGTCTTTCTTTCGTTGTGCACATAATGTGTGAATAAATGTTATATTGATTATTTAGGCCACCATGAGGTCTTTTGATATTTCACCATCTCTCAACATTTCAACGTGTCTGTCAACATTTTGTTACACTTTAAACACCTACGTAATGATTTTATAACATAACATACCAGTAACCATGAACCAAGAGGGGATAAATAACATAGGTGACACACTTCCAGATTAAGTTAATCAACATTTATCGTAGTCACATACTTGTGGTATTTAGTAGCATTATTAACCTATGACACCTACACCTTTTACTCACCCAATTCTACAGTAGCCTATTGAAAACATTTATCATACTGAAACTACGTTGTTGATTGGATGGTGAGGATCCAGCTTTAGGAACGGTACATGCTCTCCCTCTGCTGGCCAAGGTGGGGGATACAGCTGTATGTTGTCTAGACCCCACCCACAAACACTTACCCGGTTCTCTGGGACATTTCACTAAAGGGAATTGAAAACAAATGCATCTGTAGTATAGATTATGGCACAAATGTCCAGGTGAAATCTCACTGTAACTTTGTGTTGACTGTTTTGATTGACTGTCTTGTTTTCTCTGACTCCCCCTCAGACTGTGCGATCACCAAGCGAAAGCAGCAGATCGGGACAAATCAGGTCCCTCCATCCTCCGAGCGACGTCCCCCCTCTCCGCCTGGCCCTCCCCCCTCAGCCCTCTTCCTCCCTGGCCAGCAGCAGCCCAGCTCTGAACCCCAGCCCGGGCCTGGTCAGGACATCAGCCCAGCGGTGGCAGCCGCCCTGCTGCAGCTCATCTCCCAGCAGGACCCAGAGGCCGGGCCCCCCCAGCGCAGCAGGGACCACTCCCCCGCCGTGGGCACCCCTGTCCGGGGACAGCCACCCCCTGCCTGGACGACTGACTCCCCTAAACCCTCCCCTGCCAGAGAGCCTCCTACTGGCATGGAACCCGCTGCCTCTGCTATAGCAGCACAGTTCCCCAAGGACCAGGACCTCCGCTTTGCCCACAGGACCGCTCGCTGATCGCTGATCCTGGGTAGGCCTGTTTAGAGACCTGGGCTACAGTGGGTCGACCTACAGGGACAGGAGCCAGGGACATCTACTGTACTGATAATGATGATACTATAGACCAGTCTCTCTTGGTGAGAACAGAAGAGCAGCTCACCTGAGCAGGTTGTGTATATTGGAAGATGTGAGGTAGATGGCTGTGAGATTGTTAGTCTGGACGAAAGAGCAGGCCTTTGGGTCTGGATATTTGGAGGATGTTATTGTGAAGACGGGCAGTGTTGGTTTGGCTCTTAGGACAAACTAAGCCCACTCTGGACGGACGGACAGACAGACTGGGGTTGGGCCTTGGTGAGGGTTCTAGAACTGGGGGTGGGACAAACTTCCACACCCTTCAATCACTAACACTGCCCCTCCTCCTGGACCTCCTGACTTGTTGAAGAAGTTGGTTCCAAACGAGTTCCACACATGGAATGTTATCAGCTGTGATTTCGTTTTGTTTAATTTGCAAATCAAATGATTGTTATGTCTACTGCAGTGCCCTCTAACGATTAAGGCTATCAGTGGGTTTTGGAGTCTGGTGTCATCACTAATCTTCATCTGCAGTTGAATGGGTTGGTGTCTGCTACGTATGACACCGGTGGAACAAAGAACCAGTCTGAAATGTAGAGGCGGTTAACTGAGGGACAATGGGGGTACAGATGTAAAACACTGGGATTGAGAGTGAGTTAACTACTAACTCAGTCTCATCATGCTTGCTGGCTCCTGACTTTCGACCTTGTGCCTCCTTTGTGACCTTCGACCCCTGAATGATATTTTCCCACAGGGAAGAGTTGGGTTGTTTTCTTCTGTTCTGGAAGGCACATTAACAAGAGAAGGCATGGCTCAAAATTTATTGGGATACCTTGTGTTTCTTTCTTTGGCCAAAGGTACTGTAAAATTAGGTATTTGGTTCTCAGTCCTATATCCCCTTGCTGTCTCTCTCGCTCAATTTATCTATGTCAGCCTCAGTCAGCTTTCCCATGTAGAAATGAAAATGTTCATTCTCGAACGCTATCTCTCTAGTAACAGGTACATGTGCCTCTAACCCTCATACTCCCTTTGCTACACACTTACAGAAAACACAAACTCTGACATTGTCTCATGAACTGCTCCTCTATACTCAGTCACTGGTCTTTCATTGACCCTCTGGTCACAGCTAGCAAGCCGGTCACCCAACCCCATAAATACTGGACACCTATACACCTCTCCAAAGCTTTCCCTGACGGTCTCTGATAGCCTTGTCTTATCTCTTGCCTCCCTGCCTAACTCTGTGCAGCAAATATGTTTTTGTGTGATTATTTTCTACTTTAAAGACAAAGTTACATGTTAAAAAGATGGTCCATGGTTTTGTTTCCTTTGCTATGTTTTGGTAAGGGAGAAATTGGGAAGAGATCTGACTTTGGGTTTCATGTTACCATGTGACTGTAAAAGATGATATTTTGTAATATGTGTTTTCTCCGTTCAATTTATTAAAGGAAATCATGCGACCAGAAAGTTTTAGTGATGTTCTTGAGTCTCTTGTCATGTACACAGAGTGTAACAAACATCAGGAACACCCTCCTAATATTGAGTTGCACCCCTTTTGCCCTCAGAACAGCCTCAATTCGTTGGGGCATGGACTCTACAAGGTGTCGAAAGCGTTCCACAGGGATGCTGGCCCATGTTGACTCCAATGCTTCCCACAGCTGTGTCAAGTTGGGTGGATGTCCTTTGGGTGGTGGACCATTCTTGATACACACGGGAAACTGTTGAGCATGAAAAACCCAGCAGCGTTGCAGTTCTTGACACAAACCGGTGCGCCTGGCACTTACTACCATACCCTGTTAAAGGCACTTAAATCTTTTGTCTTGCCCATTCACCCTCTCAATGGCACACATACACAATCCATGTCTGAATTGTCTCAAGGCTTAAAAATCCTTCTTTAACCTGTCTCCTCCCCTTCACCTACGCTGATTTAATAACTGACATCAATAAAGGATCATAGCTTTTACCTGGATTCACCTGGTCAGTCTATAAAATGGAAAGAGTAGGTGTTCTTAATGTTTTGTATACTCAGTGTATTTTGCATGTGTGTTAGAATTCAGAATGGCCACTAGGTGGCACATTGAATCAACTTTCTCACAAACGCTATCTCTCACTCGCTCTCACACACACAGGGCGGCTGGAAAACGTGTGGCAAGGCAGAATTTGCACCAGGACCTTTCAATCAGGTGTGGCAGCGCCACTACTTTTGATTTAGTTTAATAAAATCTATTGACGCACATTTTTAAAAAGAGGGGCAAAGTACTTTATTTTTTTACAGATTTGCCGACTCGTGCACAATTTCCGTCCTTCACGTCAGGTGATGCTGCAGGCTCTAAGCGTGTCTTGACCAATCAGTCACGGAAATCGCAGTTCGCGCGGGCCGGGCACAACGCTCTACACTTTCCTCCGGTATTTATTTAGAAAGCGTGATAACACACTCCAGACAGACACAAGCAAAACCTCATGCATAAATGTAGCAGCATTAGTGTTCGGACATGCTTTATGGATGGGAACGAGAGAATGTTTCAGTCTGATCAACTGTATGCTACTAACAGCAGCTGTCCCTCTGGCCAGGGTAAAAAAAAAAAAGCGGTAGCGTTAACCTTGTGCATTTATAGCCCATTCTGTTTGTGAGACAATGTGAATGGATCAAATTTGGTTTAAACTGAACAAAAATATAAACGCAACAATTTCAAAGATTTTACTGAGTTACAGTTCATATAAGGAAATTAGTCAATCGAAATAAATTCATTAGGCCCAATGGACTGTGAGTAAATGTTTTATTAGGCCTACAGTTGCATAGGGCAGGACTACAAGATGCAAACTCAGCCCTGTGAGTTTTATTGTCCAATCATGTTGCTTTCTCTGTGTCTGTCACAGGAGGTTGATGGCACCTTAATTGCGGAGAACGGTTTGTGGTAATGGCTGGAGCTGAACGGTATCACACACATGGAAACCATGTGTTTGATGATTCTATTCGCTCGGTTTCAGCCATTATTATGAGCCTTCCTCCACTGGCTGTGTATAGAACCCCCCTAGTTCTTCTGTAAAATAGAATTCATATGAATGGGTTTTTATCCTCCACAAGGCCAGGGTTTTTCCCAGGATTTTCTTTTTTTAAACCATGTAACCTGATTAGAAAAACTGGTCCCATCAGCCCATATTAAACCTTTTTACAACAGATTAATCATGTCATACCATATTACGTCCAGAGTTTTACCAGGCTAGCTTACCACCTCTACACACACACACACAATCCATTGCATTAATACACAAAATCGGATTTCATGGAATACTTGATATGATTTATAATGCTAACAAGCAAAAATTAAAATAGCTTTAAATTGAGATATCTCCTCTATTTCAGTCCTGATTACTGGGAGTTGGCTCAAGGTGTTGTTGTTATGTTGTCCACTGACAGAATAAGGTGTTGGATATGCCAGGCGAACTGCAGCTCAGCGTTGGCCTGGAGCTGGGTCATTACTCAAAGTAGGTTGATGTCCATTGGTGTCCACTGACTGTGACTGTGGAGCCTCGGCAGCGGCAGGTGAGCTGGACTGTCTCTGTCCTTGCCTTGAATGTGCTGTAGGTCTACCCTGTGGAAGAGATAGCAAGGTGTTAGACAAATCCACGTCACATTCAACACAACTATCCCGATCTGAATATTAGGCTCATATAGTTCAAATATTGAAGTAGCCCAATTAAATATGTTAGCCTACTGAGAAAAGAGAAGATACATGCTATATTTTTGCTTACATATGTGAATGGTGGTCCTCTGTAGCTCAGCTGGTAGAGCACGGCGCTTGTAACGCCAGGGTAGTGGGTTCGATCCCCGGGACCACCCATACACAAGAAAAAAATGTATGCACGCATGACTGTAAGTGGCTTTGGATAAAAGCGTCTGCTAAATGGCATATTATATTATATGTGAGTGGAGAAGGACACACCCTGGTCCTGTTCCATTTCTCGCGTCTCCTTCGCTGATACCAGGGTGTCTTCTCAGTAGGCCTAGTCTCGTTCACTAACACCAGTCCAACGGAGGGTGCTGGGGGAATGAGAGACTGACCCTGCGCGCTCTCCGAATTTAGGTTTTACAACCCGTTGGGACCTCCGTCGTGTAGGGAGGGAAAGGTTTGGACCCTGAGGGACAGGGATGGGGTTTAGTCTTCTGGGTGGCATTGGCACATTAGGTTGCAAAGACTGTGTTGAAGACGCCGGCTCCGCATATTCCTCCTGTGGGGGCACTGGGGGCATCCACATGAAAATAGTCCTCGGACAATTCTGAGACACCAAACCCATTTCAGTAGCAAAAAAACGGTGCGCAAAAAACCTTAAAGTTGTCTAGCCTAGACCTACCTGTATTTTATCCAGACGGTAACACGGTTTATTTGGTTATACCACAGGAGATACTATTTGTCTTCTGAAAACATTGTTGTCCTGTCCAGCATTTTATGGGCAGCACGGCCATTAGCACCTTTTGATGAGGTGGGAAGCGTGAGAAACCTCGTTATTTACCGTGACAAAGACCACACCTGAATCGTCAAGAGTACATTACATAAGCAATTAACTGGTGCGTCATTTGGGTAGGCCAAAACTGTATCCTATAGACTCCCAAAGTAAATGCAGATGAGACATCATGTGCGCAATTAACACCTACAGCATGCTATGGATGCTCAGTCATGAGAGGAGGACCTAAGGCCAAAACTGTAATGTATTGTCTGTAATTTTCTTAACTCCATGGCTTAAACATTTGGTTTGCAATTAAAAAGTAGCTGGACATCATGTGAAATTGAGGATGATACCTGGTTAAAGATTTTGTCTAACTCAGGGAGGAACATAAGGGAAGCCAGGGGGAAGGTCACTCAATACGATATACTACATAGGTTCTATTGGACTCCGACAAGGCTTCATAAAATGGGTTTTATCGACAATAATCTGTGCTGGAAATGGCAAGCTATATGGGCATGCACATATAGGATATTCTGAAACATTTGAGAGAATGGTCGGGATTAACAATCCCAGTTTCACCAAGAATATGTCTCTTGGGTGACAACATACATACCTAATGGTTTAAATTAGGAATTTTCACTGATCACTGTTGGTATCATTACAGCTTCTAGATTGATCCTTCTACATTGGAAAGGCCATGCCACTCCTACTCTGAAACAGTGGATAGAATCAATGCTGGAAGTGGCATCTTATGAACAAATGATTGCTAGATTCACTGGTAGATATGAAAACGTTAAGAGAATCCGGACACACTTTCTTTGTCATGTCATTTCTGGGACTGGGAGGTGATAGCCCATGTTGTATGGTAATACTGTGCTTGTGAACCCATTTTATATTGTAGCTTATGCGATGCTGAAGTAGTATTAGATTGTGTATGTGTGTTATCCTGGAGGGTATGTCTGGATGTCATGCTCAATGTTTTTATGCTGTACAATGTGTTTGTTTGATAAAAAAAGCACTAAACTAATAACTTAAATACCAACATGTATTTTTTTGCTGGACATCATTCTAGCCCATGTAGCCTAATGAACAGTAAAAAGTAAAGATTGGGACAAATGTAGAGGTGGAGCTGAACAGTCTAATGGCAGACTGTGTGTGTTGGTGTTGAGTTCTCTTCTCACCCTATTTTGCCCACAGACTAGTTCTACACTTGGCACACATACAGACACGCTTACCCCCTGCACCACCAACCAGACACAGGCCCAGCTGAGTCCTCTGGGTGAGTGATCCTTTATGATGGTGGTGATGGTGGGGGGCTCACCTGCCCCAAACGCAGAGTGTGTGACTGAGAGGGTTGTGTGTGTGTGTGCATATATATGTCTGTTTGTGCGTTCACATGCTTGTGTGTGTGTGACGTGTGTGTCTGTCCTATAGGGGCTTTATACGATAGTGAATGTGCCCGCGGGGAGCTGCCACAGGAGAAGTAGTGGGCATGCCAGTGCCAAGTCACAGAGACAAGAGGAATAAATTGAGGATTGAGGAGCGGGGGGGGTTGACAAGGTTTTATCATCAATCAGGGAATGCCCATAAAAGTGCCACCCTGCCACTTTGATTCTCATACTCACTATGGCCCATCCAGACAACCCTTGGACTATACTGTCTGTGCTAAGACCCTCCATTTTGATTGTTGTCATTGGTTTCATCCCACAGCTTTTTCTACACGCTTCTTTTTGATATGGTTTTGTAACGTGACAAACCAAAATAACAAAGGGGCATAAAAGTAAAGTGGTGGGCCTGGAAGAATAAGAAATATTATAAACTGGGTGGTTTGAGCCCTGAATGCTGATTGGCTGACAGCCGTGGTATATGAGACCATATAGCACGGGTATGGTAAAACATTTATTTTTATGCTCTAATTACATTGGTAACCAGTTTATAATAGCAATAAGGCATCTCTGGGGTTTGTGCTATATGGCCAATATACCACGGCTAAGGGCTGTATCCAGGCAATCCGCATT